GTTGATCTCTGGCTAGAGCAATACTCCTGTGAAAGCATGTGTTCAGCCTGCCTACGTTTAGATAAGATGTTGGAAAGCACACAAATAATTTATTCCAGCTGGTGGTCTTAATTCAGTCTTTTCCAGAATGGGACCAACTTGCAAAACATTGGGCTGGAGGATGAAGATCTGACAGCAGTATTTATATAAACTCTGTTATCATTGTATTAAATTTCTTCTGATCTTAAGAGTGTTTATTCCTACAGCATTCCTACGATACTGGGAAGTGCCACTGTTGCAGTTTTACAGACAAGGAATTTTGAGACAGAGATTAGATTTTTTTAGTCAATTATTAAGACAGGCACCTGGGAGTTTAAGCACTACAAAATGTGCTTTCCATTTACCTGAGTGCATCTTTAGCTGCCTGAGTACTGCTGAAAGTCTGGCCATGAGTGAGCTGCCTAGCATCTATGACAGAACAGGCATTCAAGCACTTGTCTTCCAAATTCCAGATTAGTGCCTTCTTGCTGGAGCACCTTTCTGTGTCCATCTGAGCCAGACGACATATTTTTCTTCTGCTGTGGCCCATCAGAATTCCCCATTCACCACAAGCTTTTTGTTAAGTACCTGTGCATGTTACCTTAAGAAAAGGACAGAACTGTGGTAATAATCTTCGCCTTTTTGCCTGTACTGAGAACAGCATTGCCTTTCTGTGTTTTGTTTTGAGAACAGTGCTAGAATTGGCAGAGCTTTCAGTAAAGCTGAAGGTAGTGGAGAAATAGACCTCTTTTTTTATTTCCTTAGTTGTCTTCCTGGTGTTAACTAGCAGGATTCATAGCTACCCTGGTGGCTCCGCAATGGGGTTAATGTCAAAGACCTGTGCAGCCAAACCCCGTCCCTGTAGGCTGCTCTCCTAAGCAGCACATATTGATTTTCCACTCATATTTGTAAGAATATAATGCTTAAGCAGAGGGTTTCTTATAAGCAAAGTTGTGGCACAGCTATGGCAGCCAAAATGAACAAGTTGCTGCTAGCAGGATTTCCTGACTAATATGGATAAGTGATACCCACCGGTTTATAATTGCTATTAAAAATGTGCTCTAGGTCCTGTCTATTTCTATTCTTTACCCATATATTGATTTATCCCAGTGTCATAATTTCCTTTCATGGTTAGTCAGGCCAGGCAGGGAGAGCCAAGCTGTGTAAGGGAGGGAATGTGTGTTCCATGAGCCTGACCTTTACCTGGTTTAGGAGCAAGTGCTGTGTCCTCCCACCAAGTGAGTTCTTGGATGAGTGGCACCTGGCCCCTCCAACAGGGGCAGCCTTGGGTCTAAGGGTAAAGCAGCATCAGAGCACTCCCTGTTCTCTGACTGCAAAGCAAACATTGGCTGGGCCCATGTTCTCATTTTTGTTTTGTACTTTGGGCATCGTTTTAGTCAAAATTTGTCAGTTTTAAGTGGGGCATTTGAGAACTTGCCATTCTTCCAGTCCTATATTACCCTGTGCAGTGCTGTAGCTGCCAAAACCACATGCTCACGTTGGCACAAAACAATTATCATGGTTTATATAGAACAGGCTTGGCACTGGTCTATCTCAGTGATCACTCACAGCACTGAAAGATTGTCTTTCCCCCTCCAAGCAACAGACTAGATTTCTTTCAGCTGGATTCATGATATTAAATAATTACAGGAATGGAAAGAAATTATGGAGAGCGAGCTATATAGAATGTACCTGTAAGGTCTGGGAGGGAACAAGAATGAGATGGAGAAAGAAGGGACTGTTTAAGATACAAACTAGTAATTTGGTTTCTAAACCCCTGAGAAATTATAAATAATGCCTATTGTTGCCAGTTACTGAACACAGAGGTGTGTGGTTTTTTACTTGCATGCAGAGCTATTGGTTGTGGGTGAAGTAGTTAGACAAAAACATTCAATGGCTGCTGTGGGTATTCCACCAAAAATAAACCCAAACAAACACTGATGTGTTATACAAGTACTTTTTTTCTGTGTAGACGTTCAGTTGGTGTTGCTGGTTTCTCCAGAACTGCTCAAGCCTCTTGTTTAACTAGCCTGAAGTGATGCTGCTTTCTTACAGAAATCAGCACTGATGTGTCTGAAACATAAGAACCAAACAGGAAGGGATGTATTTCCATGGCAATCTGCTGTACGCCCTGAACTCACAGGGATGTTTGGCGGCAATGGCTATTGCTTGCCACACTCTTGTGATGCACAAAGCACTGCATACACGTGGGCCAAAGGTACCTGAACGTGAATCAAAGAAACGGTGTCTGGCAGTGATTCACAGAGGTTAGTAGAGGCCTATGCTTCCTCTTCTTTTGCAGGCAGTTTCACACAGATTTATTTTAATTTTACTCCATAACGAGAGCAACTGCTACTTTGTTATCAAAACAGTGACAGAGATTTTTATTCCAGAAGGCCAGACCTTATCGCTACTTGAAATTCTCCACATTGTTTCCACTGTGAGCAAATTCAGTCTTGATGTGACTCACATATGCTTTAAAGTTAATAGCAGTTGCTTTTACTTTATATCAGCATCAAATTTCACGTACAATCTCCAATTTTAAAAATCAAGTTAAATCCCAGGATTTTCATAGTTTTTTGGAAGTGACTTTAAATTCAGAAGTGCCTAATAGGAAGTCTTGAAACAAAGGCATACATCTTTAGTAGTTTTTCAGTTATGAACAGCAGATAGCCCTCACACCTAAATGCAGTTTCTCACCCATCTAGCAAAGATGAGCAGTAAGGAAGGGGACAGACTGCATAAATCATAGGCCTGTCTGTGATGCATTAAGAATTAATTGTATGCTTTGCACTGTGGCTGCGGCTGCAGGGCATCAGCCTCACCACTCTCAGTCCTCCAGCAGCAGCCCTTTGGCCGTGCCATTGCCCGAGCTGGCACTGATGGATTCACGGGAGGAAAGGCTCATAGAAGGGCCTTTGAAAGTAACTTACACTGGTAGCTGGTGAACTTTAAATGCAAGAGGTGGGGTTTTTTTAAACGGTGTCCAAATAAAGCAGTGCCCTGGAAGTGCAACTGTTGTACCCCGTGCTCTGTATACTGAAGGAAGTTTCAGGGTAACCAGTTACCTTGGTGGTATGGCTTCTGTGACATCTTACAGCAGTTTTGTAATTAATCTTTTAACATAGATGCAGCTTAAGGTAAAAGCATTGTAATGAACCTAATAAATAGGATGAAGTCATTGCAAGTGAGAAGCTGAAAGTTATCAACAGTTCCCAGGTGTGAAAAATGCTGTGATTTAATTTAGAGCACCTGCAGCATCCTCCTTTTCTTCCATCAAAGTCCATTTGAGATGGAAAGAGATTATTATCCCGATTTTATAGATAAGGAAATGGGGATTATCAGCTTGCCAAGATGCAGAGCCTAGAATGAAACCTCAAGTGAGGGCAAACCTTTGGAAGAGCCTCAGACCCTGATCTGTTGTTAGGGGCGAGTAGGTGTGAAACGCCCAGTGGAAGTTGCTTTGAGTTTCTGCTCAGTTGTGTATTTACTCAAACGGCTGTGCTCCGCGTGCCCCACAGCAGAGCCCGAGGGGAGGACAAGGCAAGGACGTTCAGCACCGTCCCCTTTCTGGAACAGCTTTCAAAGACTGAAAAAACTTCAGAGCCCTTGTATTAAAAATTATTTATTTGGTGATCTGTACATGGGATGAAGCAGGGCCTCATACAGACCTTCAAAAAAAAAAAAAAAAAAAAAAATCAAGTAAAAACATAAATACATATTTTCTTACAAAAAGGAGATTTACAAAATATACATACTGCACTTGTCTCACAGTTCATGTCGTTCCCCACGTGCACATAGTAGAAGACAAAACCCCAAGCCCGGGATCAGGTGTCCTGAAGGACGCGGTCGGCGTGCCCCCAGCCTGCAGCCTGCACCTTCAGCCTCAGCCTCCACTCTTCCACTTCCAGACACTCTTTTCCCCACTCAAAAAAAAAAAAAAAAAAAAAGCAGCCATGGAGTGGAGACCTGCTGAAAGTCCAGAGTTTTGTCCTTAGACGAGAATACATACACACACACTTAGAAAAAAGGACCCTTCAGTGAATATAAAAGTAGAGCAGTACGTAACACATTAAAAATGAACGTGGCAACATTAAAAATTAATAGAAAAATCTGTCACATTTCAAAACGAAACCGGTGGGTTTAATGATCAATTTTTGCACGTCCTTCCGAGGCGCGAGAGCAGCCGTGTTGGAGGCGGAACGAACGGCTCTCCCCGGGGCCGCCGTGCCGCAGATCGGCGCCGAGAGCCCCAGCGGTACGGCTGCAGCCAGGGGCCAGTTCGGGGCGTTAGCTTCACCTGCGGCAGCCCCGCTGGAAAGCGGGGGAAAAAGCAGCGTTACGGGGGGGAAAGAATCGTATCTCAGCGTTCCGTACTGTAAGGGCTCGTTTCGGCAGGTGCTCCCAGTTACGCTCTTCTGTCCCTCTCGGTCTCCCCGCTTTTCCTTCCGCGTAGGAAAGCGGGCCGTCCGAGCGGGTAACATTCCGCCTCCTCCGCTCCTCACAAAAGGAATGTTTATTTCTGCGAGCTCCTCACATCCAAGGGTGAACATCAGTGACTTCTTTTTGTTACTTTGCCCATAAAAACCGATCCCATGCTTACGCCTTTCTGTTCAGAAAATACTTTTGTTTCCCCCTTTGTCTCCTAGAACAAAGGCAAGGGGGAAAAGCCTTCTGCTGAAAAGCAACAAGTCATTTCTTTTCAGAAAGGGTGTGGAAAGGCAGCCCCCTCCTTCCCCGCAGCAGCAAAACCAACAGTTTTTTCCTCTCTCTTCGAAATGCGAACACCGGCCATCATTGAGGTAAAACAGGAACGTGTAAGCGACGAAGCGGAGGCGGCTCAGCACCGCGCTGCCCGCGGGGTACTCACGTGCTCGCCCCGGGCTGCACGAGGCGGGAGCCCGGGGGCCGCCTGACCCCAGCGGCTCAGAGCCGGGCGGCCCGCGGGCAGGGGCGGCGCTGCGCCTTCTCCCCGCCCGGGGTTGCCTCGGCCGCGTTGGTTTCCTTCCCGCACACGGAAAAGAGAGGGGGCTGTCTGGAAAGCGAAGGGCTCTCCCGCCCCGGCAGCGGCCTCTTTCTGTGCTTTTCCTCTCAGCCGGGCGTAAGCACCATTGGACACAGCGCACGTAGTCCTTTATGCGATGATCATTTTTTAACCCCGCTGTGAGAAAGCCAAAGTTTTGGAAAGCCTCCCCCCTTCCTCCGTCTTCAGGGAGCCGCTGTTGCCTCCCTTCTGCCGAGTACCCTCTCTTCTGCGTGTGTGCCAGGGTGGGTGGAGGTCTCATACCGCCGTCTCGCCCTTGCTGCCGGTACTCAGTCTGTGGTAGAAGCGCCGCCAGGACTGTAGGGTTTTGCCAGACCAGATCCAGAAGCCCGTTGTGATGCCAACGATCATGGTCATGAGGTACTTGATCATGAAGACTGTGAAGTCCGGGCTCATGGGGGCGAAGTGGCTAGGGCAGGGCACAGCGTAGGTTTTGCACGTCTGGAGGAGCCACGTCTTCTCCCAGGTGCTACGGAAGGCCTGCTCATAGAAGTAGCATGCCAGGACAATGGTGGCAGGGACTGTGTAGAGGACGCTGAAGACCCCAATGCGCACCATCAGCTTTTCCAGCTTCTCCGTCTTGGTGCCATCATGCTTCATGATGGTGCGGATGCGAAACAATGACACAAAGCCGGCCAGCAGGAAGGAGGTGCCAATGAAGAGGTACACAAAGAGCGGCGCCAGCACGAAGCCCCGCAGTGAGTCCACGCTGTAGATGCCCACATAGCACACCCCGCTGAGCACATCGCCATCCACCTGCCCCATGGCTAGGATGGTGATGGTTTTGACAGCAGGCACGGCCCAGGCAGCCAGGTGGAAGTACTGGGAGTTGGCCTCTATGGCCTCGTGGCCCCACTTCATGCCAGCTGCCAGGAACCAGGTGAGGGACAGTATGACCCACCAGATGGAGCTGGCCATGCCGAAGAAGTAGAGGATCATGAAGAGGATGGTGCAGCCTTCTTTCTTGGTGCCTTGGGCCACGGTACGGTAGCCATCCTCAGAGAAGCGCTCCAGGCATACCACCCGCTCCTCCAGCAGGAATCCCGCCGCATAAGCCACCGCCACCATGAAGTAGCAGCCCGAGAGGAAGATGATGGGTCGCTCCGGGTAGCTGAAGCGGCGCATGTCCACCAGGTAGGTAAGCACAGTAAAGAGGGTGGATGCACAGCAGAGCACGGACCACACGCCCACCCAGAGCCGGGCAAAACGTACCTCGGCCTCCTTGAAGTACATGAGCCCGTTGGGCCGGCCCGGCTCACAGGGGGCTCCACAGTCCCGCTCCCCCAGGAAGCGGTAGCCCAAGTAGGGGGGCACCTTGAGCTGCCGAGGGCAAGAAAAGGAGAAGCCAGCAGCGGGCTGTGGCGGGGTGAGGTCGGGTAGGTAGCCGGCAGTGGGCTGTGCCGTGGCTCCCCGACCTCCAGCGCCACCGGGCCCTGGCGGGGCATCCGATGTGTTCTGCCCCACGCAGATCTCGCCCGCACCGTGCACGGGAAAGTTCTCACAGCGGAGCCGCTCCGGCCACTGGAAACCAAACTTGTTCATGAGCGCCTCGCAACCCTGGCGAGCCCGTTCACATAGGGAGCGGCAGGGTGGGATGGCCTGCTCCAGTACGGTGCAAACCGGTGCATACATGGAGCAGAGAAAGAACTTGAGCTCGGCCGAGCACTGCACCTTGACCAGCGGGTAGAACTGGTGCACCTCTAAGCCGGCGTCCTCCTGGTTGGTGTGGCCCAGCAGGTTGGGCAGGATGGTCTGGTTGTAGGCGATATCCGTGCAGAGCGGGATGGAGATGGGCTGGCAGAAGCCGTGGTCCGGCACGGAGATGGCCTTATCGTCCTGATGCGCCGCCGCGCACGGGGTGCCCAGCAGGGCGGCCAGCAGGGCGGCCAGGCCCAGCCAGCGGAGCCCGGCGCCCGCTCCTCCCGCCGCGGGCCGCATCGCCGGGGCCCGGGGAGTCGCGGGGCGCGAGTCAGAACCGGGCGGCGCCGAGCCCCAGGGGCGCGGGCGCCCGGCGGTGGGGCCCCTTCCGCGGGGCGGGGGTGCGGCGGCGGCTCCGCGGCGTTCCTCTTCGGCTGCGGCGGGTCGGCGCTCCTCGGCGTTAAGTTTCCTGAGTCGGTAGCGCTGGAGAAGGTGGCGGACGGCGGCGACGGCTTTCGGTAGCTCCGCGCAGGGTCCCGCGGCGAGGCGCTGGCGCTGCTCCCCGCCTGGCTGCCGAGCCCCGACGCCGAGGATTTAGGTTACGGCTAAACGGATTATTACCGCGCCCGGCCGAGCCGTGTATTTTACTTGCGGGCTTAAATAACTTTTAAAATCCAATTATTGTGCGATCCTCCCCGCGGGTCCGCTCCCGACGGGCGCAGCCGCCTCGCCTCCCGGCCCGCTCCGCTCCGCCCGCGGCCGTGCACAACCGCACGCCCCACAACTCCCGGCCCGCGACCGAGCTGGGCACAAAAAAGACACATATACGCGCGGGCGCGCCGCTAGCCCCGCCCCCGCCGCCGGCCCCATTCACAAACCGCGCCGGGGGCGGGGCCTCACGGCGCCCGCCCGCCAATCCCGTGCCGTGCCGGGGGCGGGGCCGAGGCGGCCCGAGAAGTTGCGCTCAACTTTTTCCCATCCCCGGCAGGGCAGGGTGGGACGGGCCGGGGGCGGGAGGAGCTGCCCCGGGGCCCCGCGCCCCCGCTGAGAGGCACGGCGGGGCGGGGGGCGGCGAGCGCGCTCAGGGTGGCCCGAGCGAAATGAAATTAACTGGCTGCTTTCTGAGCGGACTTTGAAAATGCAAACGGCTGCCCGTACCCGGAGTTATTTAATAAATAATAAAAAGAGCTCCGCCCGGGTACAATTGCAGAATGAGCTGATGGCGTTGTGGGATGTCCGCGCCTGCGAGCCATCGCCTCCCCCAGCGGGGGGGCTGATTTGTTATCGCAGCATGACCGTTGCGTTTTGCTGGCAGAATGAGCGCTTTATTCACGCGGATGTAAGCTTTCGGCAGGGAGGGCAGCTTGTTTTGAAATGTCCACCGCTACCAGTGCTGAGGGGAAAAACGTTAAATCGCCGTGTGTGCGGCTGCAACCCCTTAAAGAGGCCCAAACGGTGTGTAACAAAGCAGCAGCTCCTCTGTGGAGGCCCGGCACGTCTGCGAGAGACAAAACGCAGAGAGAGACAAACGTAGGTCAGGGGAGGGACGCTGCTGGCCGGCGGGTGATGCAAGGCGGGCCCAGAGCCAGGCCGGCGTGCGTTCGCCGAGGACAGAAGTGAGCTTTGCTGCACAGCTGTATTCCAGGGCACGCGGACGCACCGCGGGCTGCTGGAACCTTCGTGCTTCTGGGGCCAGAAGTGCCGGAGCGGCACAGAGGGCGTGCGGCAGCGACCGCGTATGCCTTCATGCTCTGGCCTAGGGGCCAAGTACTATCCAGCCCACCCGTCCCTCCCTTTGAGGACAGGAACTATACCGTTCAAATTGCTGCTTCTGCTCTTGTACTCTCCGTTGTGCTCATATCGTGCCTAAGCAAATACACCAATCTGTGCAGCCTCCGAGGCACTTCAAGAGATCAGAGTGTGGCTCAGGGAGCTCAAACAGCAATTGGTGGACAAATGTTTCCCATATCCTCTTCTGCTCGTGAACAATGTGTCCTCATACCAACAAGGCCATACAGCTTCAGCTTTTGTTATATTTGTTAAGAGAAACTGACAGTTATAAATGGGCTTACTAAAATAAATGTGCTCCTCTAAAAGTGGACATGTTTTTAAAACTACTCTTCTGCTCCCTGAGCTGTGTGCCAGGCAGGATGTGCTACTTGTGCTCACAGCAGTTGCTTCTAGACAAGAAGCCTTTTCTTCTTTCCTCAGAGCTGCTGGAGGGCCCTAAGAGGAACTTAAGCGTGTCAGCGTGGTGAGGCTAGTTGTCTGAAGGGCATACTTTTGTGCACCTATAGTCACTCACCTTCAATGGAAAAGTTCTCCATGGAAAAGTTCTCCATCAACTTATTTTTTTTACTGTTGGTTTGTGTGTGTGTGTGTTTGTGGTTGTTTTGTGTGTGTGTGTGTGTCCAGCTGTTGCTAACCTTCAGAAAGATTTTTTCACTTTTTTTTTCCCATCCCAACTTTTTGTGACACTCCATGAGCTGTGGAGCCATCAATCTTTACTAATCACCTTAGATTTCACTCTGGCTTGTATGTCTGACTTCATCTGTGAGGCATTTTGTGACATTCACTATGAAGAATGTCAGAGCAAAGGAGGTGTTTCAGTGCAGGCAGTGACAATGCAGAGAGAGAAAAGGAACTGCAAACTTTCTGCCCCATGCATGGACTGATCTGATTTTTGTATGGAAGGATACATTTGGAGCTAGTAAAATGATATTGCAGGAAACTCTTTCAGCAGTGTGGAGAGAGTGACAGAAACTATTCAGAGTAAGGAATGTCAAATCACGTGGCAAGACCTGAACTGGGTATTTATTTACAAGACAGGGCAGATGGCATCAGTGCTTCCCCCTGTTTTTTGCTGGTCCTATTCATTAGAGTCATTCTTGTGAGCCATGGTCTGAAAGAAAGGATGGCCAGGAACTATAAAAGCTCCATTACGTTTGTGTTGAATGTAACATAGAGTTCAGTGAAGCAAAAGGTGAAGAAAGAAGTAGGCAGAAGGGAAGAAGGAAGGAAAAATGTGCTCCCTGTTACTTCATAGTGAAATAAGAAGACAGTAAACTTATTATGTGGGATGACACTGCTAGGACATTTCAGATGGCAGGAACGTGCAACAGCATTTACTAAGATGGAAGAAGAAAATTTCTTGCACTCATTATCAAATTCCAGTGTTTCTAGTTGTTTTTTTTTCTTAATTAGACCACTGGGAGATGGGAGCAGTCACTGACACAGGGAGTGGCGGTCTGAGAATGGCAGACTGTGGCCTAGGAAAATCCCAGGCTACTACATTACTCTGAGACATCCTTACAGCTTTCAGGGAACAAGAAAAATTGATAACAGAAAAGCCGCAGCAAAAGCCAGGGTTCTGTAAGTTATTCCAAAACATCAGGGCCTCTCTAAGTAGCATCAGCCATGTTTCAAGTGGCTGCAAACTTGTGCTCATCTCCTGCTTTTACCGCAATCTAAATTCACAAGTTTTAACCTGCAAAGTCACTTAAACTTCCTCGGACAGCAGGGATTCTCATCAGCACTAAGCACATGCAGTTGCTGCTGCTCAGATCCTCAGCCCCTCAGAGCAACTGCGCTGCTCAGGGCTTCGCTGCTCCTGGGAAGCTATTGTAACTGTACAGGAGTTTAAAAGGCGTCCTCTGAAAATCTCCCAGCCACTGCTCTTCTGAATATCTGACATTGTCTTGTGGCAGTAAAGGAGGAGCAAAGTCCGGTAAATCCATGAGACCAGGGCTTGGTACCAGCTCTGAAGCACTAGGCTTTGCACATAGCGAGGAGCTCTTGGGAACAGAGAATTCTCTGCCTTCATACACATTTAAAAATAGATCCAATTCAACTCCCAAGCTAAGTCTGAGTGAGGCGCAGCAATCCCTACATGATGTCTTTTCCTGCTGTTTTAAAGCCTCCTTAAACGTTGCCAATATCATTTTCCTTGTTTCCTATCCCATCTGATAGAAAACTCTTCCCATGGGGGGAAGGAAACCAAAACAAATCCCCCTCCCCACTCTTCCAGGCAGCAGTTATTTTGGGTGCCTGAGGGTGAGCATTTTCAGATTATCTGCTGCGAGGTTTCCAGACCTCATTGCCTTCAGAAGAATAAAGGACAGCGTTACCACTTCTCCTTCATCGCTGCTGAAACTCTGCTGATGCAGTTATGGTGCCCTGCCACCATCCCAGCTGCAACTGGCTGAAGTGTGAGGCCTTCTTCTTGCACTTAGGCTTACTGAAGGACTTCCAGGACAATTTTCATCTCATCTCATTTTGAAACACACTCACAAATATTTCTACATGATCGGGCAGGCTATTGAGCTACGAACATCAAAATTTGCCCTCCCTAAAACTTAGTGGGGAGATGCCAGGAGCCTGGGGGGGAAGTGATGCATGCAAATTCTACATAACAGTCTGCATAATTAGTAATAAAATAAGTTCACAGCACCATATCTGCTTGCATTTCTATCAGTCTGACAGACAACTCTAAATTACACATTGTTTGAGCTCATCAATGAAGTCTGGTTTTTCTGTAGTGAGACAGGAGAGCTTGGTTCTTCACAGGCAGGGAGTGGGGAAAGGCAGCCCCTGCCCCCCAACACAGAGCCTGAATTTGAAATTAGATTGAAGGCATCAGAAACTGATTGAAAAGAGAGGATGGGGAGGGCGCAGGTGACAAAAGGAAGGGGATACCGCTGGAGGGGATGTGGTTTCCTCAGTGAGAGAGGCAAATGCCAGTTGCATCATGGACTTGTAAGATAATTATTAGCTTATGAAGTAATATCCCAAAGGATATATGGGAGCTCCACTGCCTTCCATATTTACGATCAAATTGGAGAAAACATTAGGAAACATTCACAAAGATGGGCTATCTGGTGATGGCTTTCATTTTTGACATCCCTGAATAAGAAAACAAAACCTGATGTTGATCAGCTCATCCCCACTCAGCACTTCACTGAGGACATCAGTTACACTTTAACCACTGCGTGACACTTTGAATTCCCTTGTTTCTCTGAAGTGAATTTAATCTGCTCTCGCACAATTTTGGGGTTGCAGAGGCCCTTTGGTATAAAGTGTAGGCAACCCTTCTTTATTTTACTTTCCCAAGCGAGGCGATTTTTAACAAGGCAAATGCTTTTCAGCAGCAGTGGTATCAGCCAGGCCCTGCCATCACTCTGGGTGCAGTGATACCACAGTATGAAGAGGAGAAGCTTCCAGGGGTGGTGGGGAAAATAAATAGAGTCATAGAATCAGTAAGGTTGGAGGAGACCACTAAAATCATCTAGTCCAACAGCCGG